TCAGGGCTCATGTCTTGTAAGTCTTCATGCAGAGGGCATGAGTTATCAGATCAGCACTGCCTCTTTCTGTTTTGATTTAATTTTAGAAAGTTTCTATAATAAAAATGAAAGGAAAAAAAAAACATGAAAATTGGCTCAAAGCATTGACCATGCTTAAACTAAATTGCTCTTTCTTTCCCAGGACTAGGTTGCTGCCTACGTTTCATTAGAAGCTTTCTCTACATTCTACTAACAATGTCAACTACAACAGGGAAAGGCTTTCAGTAATGATGGGTTCTTATTTTGGGGATTCTCATTATATGCCAGACACTCTCCTAGGCACTAGGGTTTAAGATACAGAGAACTGAACCAAACAAAATCATGTGCTCATGTTTCCTATCATCAAGAGTTAGAGGACAGAAAACAGACCTACTTAGACAACAGCAAAGGGTACCCACTCCAGCTCTGCTAATTAACATGCCCCATCTTAATATGGAGGGACAACCTGGGATCACCAGGCATGAGGAAAACCAAAGATATGAAAGATGAACAAACAGAAAAAATGATGATGTGGAAAACAGAAATTATTCAGGGCACAGAAATGCATTTTAGAAGAAATTAAATCCAAAAAACAGAGAGAAAGGAAACTGAGAACAATATGAATCCTTTTACAAATTAAAAATATACGTTAAAGCAAAGGTAAAAAAAGGTACGGAGGGCAAGGTTGAAGTCTCCCAGAACACAGAGCAAAGATTTGAAAAGTACGAAAGAAAAAAAGAAAGAGGACACATTAGGAGTATTAATCCAAAAGATCTACTGTCTGATTAATAACTGTGGTCTGCAGTGGCACAGTTTGCCTCTATAGTGGTGGTGGTGGTTATTGCTTATGTATTAGTAAAAATAATAGCCAACATTGTTGAGGGTTTTCATTGTACTATAATCTCAGGTTCTAACCCACAATGTCTATTTTATTATCCCATCACTTTTTCTAATGGAACTGAGAGGCTAGGAAGGTAAATGGTTAGATGTGGTTATTGATTACGTTTAGATGTGGGGAAGAGAAAATAGTCAAGGGGTAACTCTTGGATGATTGGACGTCAATAGCTGAGATCAAAATTCAAAAGTAAAAGTTAGTTTGGGGAGAAGCAAATTGGTTCAATTTTAACATGTTGAGTTGAAGGTACCCAGAAGATACCTGAATGGGTAAAATTAATAGATGCTTATTTATATGAGTCTGAAGCTCGGGGAAAAGGTGGGACCAGAGAGAGATTTAGGAATTACCAACATTGTCAATTAAAACCAGAGAGTGTATGCAACCACCCCAAGAGAGTCTGAGCCTAGGGCCAAAGGGAAGGGAGCCCACAGGAGAGATGGGGAAGACGTGCTCAGTGAGCAGGGACCTGCGACAGAGTGCAGAGACCATCATGGGACAAGAAAGGTTTGGGTAGGGATTGGCCAAACATGGAAAAAGACACACTGAAAATTTCTATATAGGGGTTATTGGTAATATTTATCAGAACAATTTTAATGGCATCCTGGGAACAAGTCAGATAACAGTTAAGAAAGAATAAAGAATGAATTCATCTCATTCTTCATCTGCCCCGTGTAAAATAAATTAACAAGACCTCTGTGAGTGGATATGGTAAGATTGACATAGATAACGTTTGAAGAGTATTTAGAAGAGTACCTGGCACGTAGTACATGCTCAGCACACATACCAGGGTGTTACAGGGATTGAGTGCATGACTTTTGGACCTGGATAGACTTGGGTTTGTAGTCTAGCTCTGCTGCTGTGTAGTTGTGTAAACTTGGACCGTCACTTTGCTTATGTATCTTTTCTCTCACCTATAAAATAGGGAGTAGAGCAATAACTACCTTACACAACAATTTCTAGGCATTGTATATTATTTTTTCCTATAATAGTTGTATATTAATCTTTGAATATTTGTGTTCTTACATCAGGCTGAATTCCTGTATCAGATTACAAATTGACATAGTTAGGGTTTATTCTGGTCATATAATGGTGAATACAATTTGTTTTAATATTAGTTTTTGTTTGCTTTCCCAGTAGATCTCTTTTCCCTGGATGAAAGGTAGAAAGCCATGCTTTGTGTATCTTAGCCTTGGGTACTTCTGCAGAGCAGATTCTTCCCAAATTTGGAAAAGGCAATGGTGGGCATCTGGCCCAGGCAGGGGAGAGAGGACAATGCACTGGACATGGCCAAGGGAAGAGGAGAGGTGGGTGGGAGGCTGGCACCCCCCTCCCAGGAGCAGTGGAGATCTATCTGCAGGGGGCTGGACAGTGGCAGAAGAGGGCAGCAGCAAGGTCTCAGTCCTTGTGGGATCTTGCAGATGACATTGGTGTCCAAGCACTAGCCAGTGGGGACCTATGAATAGAGGGGCTTTCCTTTGCTAGGATCTTAATAGGAGCCCCCTTGTGAAATAGGTTTCACCTTGTGAAAGAGCCACCTTCTGAATCTTCTCTGACACTGAGTTCTCCATGGAGAATCTCCCTCCAATCAAGCATGCATATTTTCCTGCAGCTACCAGACCCAGGAGACGTGGGCGAGGATGGGGGTGAGTAAGAGCCACTAAGGACTCTTAACTATCACCCACCATTGCTCCAAGCAAGAAGGCAACAGAACTTGGTGCTAGACTGCATGGGCTAGACTGCATAGGAAACGGATCTTTAATAGAGGTTTGACTTCTCACTGATTTGCATGGATTTGAGAACTAAAGAATCTCAGTGTGTCTTGCACATGAATCTGTGCACTGGAAAATCATTCCTGTAGCACACTCATACCATCTACTGAGAAATAAAGCGATTTTTGTCTCCACTTTGTTGAGTTTTGCTCATTATTTTTATTTCTTGCTTCACTATTCTAGCTAGAACTCAAAAAGCAATAAAAGGTGTCACAGTTAAGAGTGAGGAACAATTTATCTCTGACTGGCATAGACCAGGCAGGAAGAAAGATTCTCAGTGGATATGGACGAGATAGATGATGAGCCACACTTTGTGCTCTCCAGCCCAAGACTGTGACTAGACAAGGTCTCCCAACCCTCAGCACTACCCAGTCCCTTCCCCTATCCCAGATATTTGGTGTTGAAAAAAATGTGGAGACTTCAAATTGAGTGATGCTCATGTTCTAGCATAGGACAAATTGAAGGCTCATGGTAGAAATTCAATGCAATCACAGAAAAATAAAGTAAATTATCTAACCTGACCACCTGTGTATGTAAAGTAAGATTCATCCCTACTCTTGTCTCAATGTTTCTGGAGGTTTTTATCTTGTGCAATACCCTCATGGGAGCAGGTGTGATGAGAACTAGTCAAATGCTACCATGCTAACCCGGCACTCCTAAGTTTAAAACATTTTCATCTTTAGTGCCCCTTGTTAGAATGTATTTATGCATGCATGTAAAAAGTACATGTAAAAGTTTTCTCATGGTATGAGAAATCAGTATAGTCCATGCCATACATATTGTATCTGAAGTATAAAACTTCAAGGTCAATCAATGTTTTGCTTGGCAATTTTTAGCACCATCCCAAATCAAGACCTGCCAAGGATCTGTCCTTTTCAGGAATCCCATACAGTGGGCTCTGTGCCCCCACCCTTTTCCTCCCACTGAACCTCTCTTCCTAATCGCTCACTTATTCCACTGTAAATAAGCTGCCAGCCACTCTCAGTTTTTGCTCTCAGTGCTTGCCCTGCCATCTAATCTTCTCTGACGCTGAGTCCTCCATGGACAATCTCCCTCCAATTAAGCATGCATATTTTCCGGCAGCTCCCAGACCCAGGAGACATGGGCGAGGAGGGGCATGAGTAAGAGCCACTGAGGACTCTTAACTATCACCCACCATTGCTCCAAGCAAGAAGGCAACAGAGCTTGGTGCTAGGCTGCAAGGGCTTTCCCGTCAAGCGGCCTGGGTTGAAATCCTAGCACCGTCACACCTTTAGTGTACATCCTTGGACAGTTATTTGGTCTTTCTAAGCTTCGGTGGCTTCACCTGCAAATGGCAATAGAAAATCTATTTCACAAGGTGGCTCAAAGCGAGTATTGCATATATCGAAGCACTTTGCACCATGCCAGGCAGAGGTGAGTGCGTGATCATCGCCTAACGAAGCATCACCTTCACCACATTTCCTCCCTCAGATTAAAGCAGCCTGAGGCTTTGGCTGGCCCATTGCACATCTTCCGTGCCAGACACCACACCCCAGATTTGGTATTCTTTCAAACCTCTCTTACAGGCCTTCGAATTATTCCTTAACACCAAGGGCTTTCACAACCAGACCACTTAAGAAACACCGCTGGTGGCCACGCCCTGTACTGTTTCACTATTCACAATGGTTTGTCCTTTGAAATCTTAATCTTCAATATTTCACTCTCATCTGAGAACCACTTCTGGTCTGCTCTCTCTATCTCGCTCTAAACATACGACATTTCACGTCATCAACACCTCCGATTCCTGGATGAGGAACTACTAGTTGCTTTGCGGCTTCACCAAGCTCAGATCCCTGACTGCAGCTATCAGTTTCTTTATTGACATTTCCTCTTACTCTTTGCTTTTGTGCCTCCTGCTCTGCCAGACCCTGACTCCGGGTCGCTCGCTATGAGCTGTCCAACGTGCAGCCAGTCACAGTCCGCTGTTCAATCAGCACACGTGGCCAGTGGCCACACTATTGCATAGCACAGGTTACAAAACATTTTCATCATTGCCAAAAGTTCTACTGGACAGCAATGCTTTATCTGAACGATGGATTTTCTCTCTTCTACACCTCGGGGTGAAGACTACCTCTGGGTAAGGCAGAACAACTATGTGGTTGGATACCCCTTGAAACCTCAATGCATTCACTCTCACTGTCTTTAAGGATGCCTGGAGGTGTTCTGAATTACCTTGGTCTCCTGCCCTCTTCTGACACCGTGACAAAATTTCAAATGTCTCCTCCTGCCTTCCAGGCCACCACCCTTGCGATCTCTCTCAGCAGTCGAACTTACCTTCTTTTCCCCTGCAAATCCAATTAGATGAAAAATCTCTTAATTGCCTTTTCTGTCAGTTGTAATCATGACTCTATAGACCTCCTTTGTTTTTTTCTTCTTGTTTAAGGCTAATCCTCCTACCTACGCTTGGGGTTAATTCATCAGCCAACAAATATTTATGGAGCAGCAACTACATGCTAGGCACAGTTTTAGGTGCTGACAGTTAGCTGTTAACAGAACAATGTTTCCACCTTCATTCTAATGTTGTCAGTTAGACAATAAGCAAATATCTCAGGTGACGGTAAGTATAATGGAGAGAAATAAAACAGGCTGGGTGTTAGGGTGTACCAGGGTGGCATCAGTTGCTATTTTATATTGAGTAGTCTGATCTGGGTGGAGACAACTGACAAGAGAGTCGGGGAGTGTGCTGTGGGGCTGCCTGGGGGACCCTGGTGACACTCCTGGTGGGGGAATGGCAAGAGGGAAGACTCTGGGGCATGCAGGGGCTCGTCTGTTGAAGGGCTGACAGAGAGATCTCGTGGGAGGGATGCAGAGAGTGAGGAGTAGCAGGGAAGCAGGTGTCGGGGGTCACGGCCAGATCTCATGGCTCCTTTCTGGACACAGTAAGGGGCGAGTGAGTGGAGATGCCATGGGAGGGTATGAGCAGAAGAATGACCTCATCGGACATAATTTTGAAGGGTCATTTTCAGTGTTGGATTCCGAATGGTCTGCAGTGGCAAGGATGGAAGTTGCCTTGCTGGGAGGCTGTTGCAACGATTCAGGTGCGCTGGAGAACTCGGGGCAGTTGGGGTGGCGGGTTGGGCCAATGGGCAAGGATGGAGGCAGGAAGAGGTATTCTAACCATGAGCCTATTTTGAAGTCAGTCCATCAGTTCTTACCACCACAGGAAACTTGCTTCTCTGCCTTCTCCTGCACCATTGAATTATCCTTTTTTACTGGCTCATTTCTCTCAGAAGAGAAACATGCTTAAATCTCTTCTATCTCAAAACTTAAAGGGCTTCCTCTCCATCCTCAATGCCTCCATCTCTCCTCATTATTCCATTTCTTCTTCACGACTGTTTGACAGCGTGGTCTAGAATAGCTGCATCTCCTAAGTCCCCTCATCCCCTTCTCATCCCACTGAAATGTGTCCGCGAGTGACGAGGCTGATCTGGTCAGCCTGGAGCCGGCACTGGTGCCAGACCTGTCAGAGCTATTGGGCTTCTCTGCCTGTGTCTCACTCGACCATCCTGCGTCATCCGACACTTCCAAGCTCTCACTTTGCTTGGCTTCCTTGACAACGCTCCCTACTTGTTTTTCTCCTACACATCCGACTCCTTCTCAAAGTTCCTCACAGCTTTCTCTTCCTCCACTCACCTCTTAACTGTGAGGGTTCCCAAGACTCTGCCTTTCAGTTTCTGATTCTCTGCTCTCTCCTTGGAAGGTGAGAGCTGCTGTGAGGAATAGATCTCAAAACGATGATACTTCACAGTCAATAGCAGTCTAGTTTTCACTCAAGTAACAACAGGAAATAAATGCTCCTAGTCCATGGGGTTTTAGAATTGAAATCCTCACTCAGGGGCCAATAGACCAGCTATCAGAGACCGGAGTGAGGTGATGTAGACCACTGAGAAGGAATCTTTTAAGTAGATACCTGAGAACAGGCTCCACGATTCTTAAAAGTCTGACAGTCCTTGAAAGAGCGGAGAGAAAGGGACAGATTTTGCGAGAGGTCTTCAGAAAAAGCACCTGCCAGGGGTAGCCCCACGTCCCCCAAGGGGGCAGGGTTAGCCTTCCTCCACTTTGTGAAGTAATGTAGGCTTCAACAGCAGTCCCTGCAGTCAGGGGACCCTGGGAGCCGATGCAGGACTCCTGTCCAAAAGAATGAGGTCGAGGATAAAAGGAGGGAGGGGCTATGTTTGTGAAGAAACCATATTCCTATACTAACAGGCCAGAAATGCATGACTTTCCCGTGGACTTAATATGGGCTGTACAGGAGGGAGGGAGGGCCCAGGGCTGGTTTAGGTCCTGCCCAAGAGGGCAGCCTGGGAGAAGGACATGCCCACAGACAGAGTCTGTATGTAGGAGACCGTGGAGAAGCTCGCCTGCAGCGGGGAGCTGCTGTCCCCAGCAAAGCCACTGCGGGTGGAAGGGCCCAGAGACAAAAGCATGAGCCCAAGGGAAGCCTCTGCCAAGCCTGGAGCGCAGGAGGGCATTTTAGTTTCCTCTCACTAGGTTTTGTTAGCGGTAGCACAAGCTGACTTCTAAGGATGGAAGAATGGCGGGTTTGTCACAAGTGAGAAAAGAAAATGACGAACAAGAGCAGTAACTATGAGGGATAATGAAGAACAAAATACATGCAGCAGCACGAAAAAAAAGGCTGTGAATTGCAGCATCTTTGTAACCTAGTTAGTTTCAAACCCAGGGGCGAAGCTGAGACCTAAAGGGTATTCCTCCAACAGAAAGGGACGTGTCCCCAGAGTGGCAGAACAAGCCCTGGCTGCAGCATCAGCTCGTGTCCTAGGCTTCAGAGGTTATCAGCACCCAGCCCCTCAACCGAAGATCTAAGACGAAGTATAAGTGATGCTCAGGGGAGCAGACTGGAGGAGAGAGAGATGAGCATGCATCTATACCATTTTGGGGAAAACAAGTAGACCTGTTGTCTTACCACATTCAAAAATGAGTTATCAGAAAAGAATAAAACAGCAACATAGGTCTTATGAATAAATTCTGCAACTAATGAGAACTCCTATCAAATAACCAAAGACGAAAATACGTGTCTGATTAGTTACGTTTATTTATTTTTTTAAAGGAAAATTATTTTATTTTATTTTATTTTTATTTAGCATATCATGGGGATACAAGTGTTAAGGTTACATATATTGCCCACGCCCCCCTTCCCCCCTGCAGTAAGAGCTTCAAGCGTGTCCATCCCCAGGCCAGGCACGGTGGCTCACGCTGTATCCTAGCACTCTGGGAGGCGAGGCAAGGAGGATCGCTCAAGGTCAGGGTTCGAAACCAGCCTGACCAAAAGCAAGACCCGTATCTACTAAAAATAGAAAATTGGATACACAGATGTTGGAGAAAAATAATAGTTATGTTTAAAACATGATAACAAATAAATAATAACACGTAGAACTGGAACTGTAATAAGTATTAGAATTACCTTTAATGACCACAACAATTATTAATGTTTCCGTGTTCATACGCAGCCTGAGACTCAGTTTTCTGAGCGGGGTGTCTCACAGCGAGGAAACCGCCCCGGAGTCACAGATTCTGATGTGAGTCAGGAGTTCCGCCACGGCCTGGGTTGCCAAAGTGAGCAGCTCTTCCCACACTTTTCCACAGGAACTAGGGTGCCTCAGCCTTTGGAAAGCTGCTTCGTGCTCTGTCCGCACTCAATAATGCTGCTTAATAAGGAACAATGAGAATATGTGTTCCATCTCACTTTTCTCCTGAACACCTCCATTTAGGAAGCCACAAATATTTCCCCAAGTCATTTATTCCATTGCCCGATTGGTTGCACAGTCAAAAAATTTCCTACTGTCTCCCTTGAATGTTTCCATTTTCTTTTTGCGTCTCAGCCCTTCCTCCTTGTCTTGTGCGTGTATCCCATCCCAAACTATGTTGGTGGTTCGGAAGTCACGCTGGGAGGACAGGGCCTCAAATTTCTTGTTTCC